ACGGAAGTAGGATTGCCCAACCTTCCTTCCGAGGAGTGGCTGGTGGGTTTGAACCGCCAGCCTTCTGGTTAGCAGTCAAGTGCCTTAGGCACTATGCTATAGAGCAGCACTAGAGACTTAAAATAGATTTAATACTGTGAGAGTGGGGTACTCCTCTGACAGATATCTAAAATGTGGTTAGCAGGAGTGGAGTGCATCCTTGGACCTAAGATCCCTGTGCTGAGACTGACAGAGAGACCAGAAGAGAGAAAGTGGCAGCAGAGCTGAGAGACCAGCATGAGACAAACAGTTTTACCAGCTTCTGGAGGAGAAAGCCTTTGGACAAGCAGCTTCCTGGCCAGAGTGGGTTGTTTTTGGACACTTACTGGTAGAGACCATCATAAGACAGAGACACCGGCTTGCCGGTTGAGTGCCTTTGGGTAAGAAGCTTCTTGGCAGAGTGGGTTGCCTTCAGGCATTAATTAGCAGAAACTGAGAGACAAAGGAAATGGGAAGCAGAGCTGCCTCAGCCTCAAAGGGTAGGTCCTTTGGGGGTGGAACCACCACAGCCTCCTACGTTTCAGTCAGATCTTCACCAACTTGTTCTGGAGTGTGAGGCTGCTGTTCATGAGGTCCAGTGGGATGGGCCCATAGCCCCTGCTCAGAAATGAGGGGGCAGAGTTGCCATGCCCAAGGGGCAGAGGAATGCGCCTGCCAGGCCAAGGAGGTGAGGTCGCTACTCAGATGGATTAGGAGACTCAAGCCACTCAATGAAGGAGATCTGTATAGTTGCCAAGATGACAAGGGGTGGAATTGTGGCAGTTAAGGTTATGTGTTAACTTGTCTGGGCCTGATTTTGAGTGGCTGGGTAGCTGGATGTAGTGATTGCCCATGATAAGACTGGTAATCAACTCCATGGTGGAATCCATTAGAGCAGTTGAGTAGCTGCCTTAGGGATGTGGTCTGCTTCCACTATATAAGAAGATGCTTTGAGAAAGGTCTGGAGCTTCTTGGCATTTGGATTTTGCATTTGGCTGTCACCAGTGAGTGGCCTGCCACATTGTCAATCTTGGGACTCTTTCTGGACTTGAACTAGTGGCCTGCCATGTTGCTTGATAATCTTTGGACTGTGCCATTTTATTTGTTGACTTTGAGTTTGTCAGCCTCGGCAGTCAGGAGCTACCTGAGTTGAGACTTCTCCAGTTCCAGTGGGCCAGGAGCATGAGGCAGAGCTGAAGCCCAAGGTCAATGGGCCTTCACCTAGCCCCCAGAGCTGGCACTTTGAACTCAGGCTTCTAGCTTCCCAAAGTGTAAGAGAATAAATCCCTGTTTCTTAAAGCTATCTACTTGTGGTATTTTCACTTATAGCAGCACTAGGCCTAAAACAAGTTCTTTCTTCTTTTTTCATGCCCACATTTATTGGTATAAATTGCCTTCGAGCACTACTTTTGCTGGTCCCAGAGGTTTTGGTATGTTGTGTTTTCTTTTTTTTTTAATTTGTTTTTATTATTATTGTGATTTGGGTGAAGATTTACAGAGCAAATTCACTTTCCATATAGCAGTTTACATATACTTTGTCTCATGACATTGACCCCAGTTTACCACAATGCAACAGCTTCCTTCCCACTTCCTCCCCATAGTTACCTCTTCCCAGTGTCCATCCCTCCATGGATTCCTGCTCCCTAAGCTGTCTCCCTGTGCATAGACAGCCCTCCTCAATCATTGTTCTCTCCAAGGAGTGTATCTACCTCAGGTAAATGTTCAACTCATATGCCTGTCTTCGGTTTGGCTGGAAACCACAGGTGTGGATTCAACTCCAGACCTGAAGGGCAGCTTGGGGCCATAGTCTCAGTGGTTCCACCAG